CGCCTGGATGCCGCGGTCTTTGCCGTCCAGGAACAGCCGCGCATGGAGCATGCAGTGGTTGGCGGTCTTGCCGAGCCCGCCGGGCCACCACTTGCAACTGGTGAGTGTTGGCGAGTTCAAAATAAACTCTTGCGTCCTGGGGTCGTAGTGGGCCGTGGTTTCGACAGGAAACCGTGTCCGGGAATCGCTCTCCACGTACAACGGATATGAATGAACCACCACAATCGAGCTCACGCCGGACACTGATGTGGATGGGGACGACAGCGACGTCGGCAAGAACGATTTCTCTTCAGACTGCATCACTGCAGTATGTGACGGCGTCGTGCATGGACCTGATGGCGAGAATAATTATCCACGTTGAAGGCGAACGAAAGTGCGTACGAGTTTGTGTCGCGTGAGTTTGGCGCGCCCGCCAAAAGCAAACCTTTATCAATACATGTTTTGATTGAATTACAATTTACAGGTGGTCACATTGATTGTAGATTAAACCACTTTGCATGAAATAGAATCCAGATATACTTCGACGTTCGAAGAAGGTAATACTTCGAAACCACATTGATTGCTGGTTTGACCACATTGAACGGGCAATGGTGTTGTCACTTGGTACCACTACAGTCAACGACAGATTTTAGGGGACACCCTGTACTTCGAATATATGACAGTGACGAAAGATCATTGAACGAAGTACTTCAAAATATGTTGGAGTTTGTGGCCAATCAGACAAGTGCAAGTCATTTTTGCTGAATTTCGCACATCCAGTATTATAAATTACGGATTGATGGACAAAGTTTAAGCTAAGCGTTTGACGCAATAGCGCAGTGGACAACACGTTGAGTGTCTTGAGTGAGCCCCGGGTTGGAGTCCCGTGCGTGTCGAATTTTTTCTTATTCTTGCAATTCGTAACTCAAGAAAAACTATTGTTGTGGAATTGCTTTGGCAAAACTACGACGAATTTTCTTCGGTGTAATGAGTGCACATGCCTTAATGGCACGATGGATCATAGTTATACGCTTCTTTTGCGCCGGGATAGTCGTGAGATCTGCTTCCTCCTCACCATCACTACCCTCAACTAGCTCTTCCTCCAGCCACAAATTGCGCATATGGCGTTTGAAAGGAGCCATGACTCCCGCATCCAGGGCTGCACATAGCTCGTAGAATTTGGAGGAATGGCGGCCACAGTGCATCCAGCTTCTTCACTCGCAATCTTGCATCCTACTTTGCTCACATGGGGCTCAAAGTTGTCTAACAACAGCACGGACGGTTCCCGTATTTGCGGCTTGAGCAGCTGACGCAAGTATATCGCCCAAACATGTGAGTCCATCCAGGCCATGTCTTGTACTGCATACCGATGGGCAATGGGAAAACCGTCAAATTCAGACTTCTCAATGGCGCCACCCTTCTTGCCACGCATGATGAACTGAATGGGAAGCTTCTCGCCACTGGCGCACTGCAAACACTGCTGTCATACTGTACGAGATCTTCTCGCCAAAGCAGATCTTGGCCGTACCACCACGAACAGACCAAATGGCATGGGGCGGCATACTGTAGTCATACGTCAGGCCTGTTCATCAACGTTGACAACCGCGTCCGGGCTAAATCCACTGAAAGCCTTGTGGAAGTCTGCGGCAAACTCATCGCGGGTAATTTCAAGGTCGTCATGTGTCTTCTTAGTCTTCGCTGCTTTTTGTCGCGTGAATCCGTGTCGGTGGCAGAGCGCTGGAGCACGCAAAACAGAGAAGGGTAACCAGCTTTCTTTACGGCCATGTACGCATCAAGCCTTGGTGGGTGATTGCGCTTGAGAATGTTGATGAGGTGGGTGCACGTGACTGCTCGCTCTGCTGCACGGAGCTTGTGCATGTACATGACAAGAGCTTCGATGTCGGGGATCTCTTGCGAGCGACCTGCTCCGCTGAGGTTGAATAGTTTAAGTGAGCAGTCGTGCAGAAGTAGATGAAGTGCCTGCCGGATCCATCGAGCCACGTTGCTCTTTGGAATGCCAGTTGCTGCTTTGAGGTCACGGGTTGATGCTGTGTGCATATGAAAGATCACTGCGAGCTTTACGGCATGCATGTACCGCTTACGTGGCTTCTTCTTGGAGCTTAATTTGTCGCGCTCCTTTGGCGCCATATCTTAAAGTATATGTGGTCGATGCAATGACTGCGAAGTGCCCGCGAATATTAAAAGTTTTCGCGCCAAAATAAGTTTTGGTCAATCATGTTAGGTTAATACTTTCTTTGAATTTGATTCGTTTTTAATTTCCCATGTGTTAGGAAACTTCGGTGTCCCTTAAAATCTGTCGTTGACTGTACTTCATACCTAGTACTTCGAAGTACTACACCTTTTCACGAGCAAGTAGTGGTTTTTTCTAACCAAAGTGGTAAAATAAAATGCCAAATGTTTTAAATTTAGAAAGTGGGTACATAAAAATGACAATTTTCCAATTCAATGTGGTACTTTTCCATCCAAACTGGTTCACTTCACTTTCCGTAGCACATATCTTCAAGACGAAGAGCCTTCTCAACGTTGCGTTGGCAAAACATTGCCTCACGGACGACCATGGAACGAGTGATACAGGGAAGACACTCGTGAGCACCAGCTTCTAACAACCGTATACGACTCTCAAAGTAAGAGGGATATTCGCGTCGTTGAAACATTAAGTCTGTGCGATTTACCAGGTAGTTCTTGATCTTCGCCTTGAATACGCTTAAACAGCTCTTGATAGGGTTGAGCATCGGCGAATACGGGCCAAGTCGGAGAAGAACGAGATCATCGTGCATGACAAGCGCTCTTCTGTTTGCGACTGGGTGGGCTTGTTGTCAAACACGATGACTACGTTCTTCCCAACAAAGTTGTTGCATCAAGTTGCAGATCGTTCGACGGCATTGTACAATCTCCCTCCTTTGCACGTCCGGCGGAGCGATGGCAGTAAATGTTGTGGTTGGTCTCGTCGAGGTACACGATATAGTCGCCGGCGTGTTGATGTTGAATGAGATTTTCCGCGAAAATCTTGCGTTTTGCCTTGTTCAGGTCACTAGTGCATGTGGATGGCTCGACGCGAACCAATTTCACAGAGTACAGCATGCCCAAGACGTGTCGGCTTATGGTTTGAAGGGAAATGTGGACTCCATTGAAGTCAATCTTGATCAAATGTTGAATCGCAGCGAGTGTGTATTGACAGTTCTTGTCGAGGTAACGTTCC